GGGTAGCTGTACTCTCCGTCCATTGTTGTAGATGTTTGCGGTGCGGTTCACCTAGTTGATCTCGGGGTTGAATCTTTTTAGGAAGTCTCGTCCGAAGATCAAGTCAAGCCCTTTGATGTTGGTGATAGGGAGTGCAGGTCTCCAGCGCAGTGGTCCGATTTGTAGGTGTAGCACTGCTTCGCCGTGTACTAGTAGCTTGCTTCCGTCCACCATCGTTGCAGAGAATCCTGAAGGCTTGTACTCTTCCCGAAGTCGGTCGATTACTGCCTTGTCGCAGACGGTGTGTGATGCTCCGCTGTCCACGAGTGCTTAGAGGCGTCGTCCTTTGCAGATGACCTCGAGCACGAGGGGCAGGCGTTGCTCGGAGTACCCAAAGATGGTTTCATTTATTGGGTCATAGGGTACATCCCAATATTCTTTACACACCTTTGTGTTGCTATCTAATCCTGAGCTGGCAGCTAGCCGAGGCTGCTTGGAGAACGGCTCCTCTCCAGGGCCCGGAGTTTCCTTGACGACTGTGCGCGTCATTGATGCCGAAGAAATGGATGCATCCGGAGGAGGCGTTCGGGGTTTGTGCAGCTTCTTGTAGACCCCCAGCTTCCTCTTGAGCTGCTTCAGCTCCACCGACGTCTTCCCTGGGGAACGGGTAGTCGTTGTGGGCTGGTGTCGGGAGAGGACGTTGACTCCGTGGAAAGGTCGGCTTCTTTCCACACTCCTTAATTTTTTCCCCAAGTTGTCCGGTACCGGTATAATCTCCACAGCTTTCTGCTTCTTTTGGAGTCCTTCCCAAATTTTCTCCAAGGCTCTAGCCCCTTGAGAATTACAAGTTTTCATTAAAGCATCTTTATAAGGGAACTTTAACAAATCCTTATAATTTCTTGGGTCTTCAAGGAGTTTCCCCGTCTCGGCAGAGTCTTTTTTCGCGGAGTCGTATTTTTCCTCGGCGATTTTCCCTGGCGAAGACTGGTCGTGGGGTGGAGATTTTCCCCCATCATTTCCTCCTTCTCGCGTCGAATCAGCTTCGTCGAAATTGATTTTCCCAGAATCCCGCGGCCGTTTTCGGATCTTTTCTTTTTCGCCAGCTAGATCCGCGATCACTGGCGACTCCCGTTTTTTGTCTTCTGATTTGCCAAAGAAATTCCGCCATTGTTGCATGCCCGATACTCTGCGCGTGCGGCTTTTACTTTGTTTGACGCTCCGCTGCCGAAACGACGTTTTTATAGCTCGCGTAGTTTGACGCTGCTACTTGTCGTTTGACTTCGGTCTTCAGCCCGGCGAGGTACGACTGTAATTTTTCCCCTTCAGTCAGGTCGGGAATTCGGTTATAAAATTCTTCCATCTCCTGCGTGTACTGCGCTACACTCCCGAACTGTCGATGGCGATGAATTTTTTCCCGGGCAAGGAAACCCGAATTTATCGGCTCGAAACGTTTCAGCAGGTCGGTGCGGAACTGCTGCCACGTGGCTTCACCGTGGATGAAGGTGCTGTTGCCGCCAATCCACTCGAGTGCCGGCCCTCGCATCAGCGTTGCCGCGAGTCGTACGTATTGTCCGTCCCAGACTGGCGAGCTCCATCCCACGGCTGCGAAGTAGATCTCCATCCCGGCGATCCATCTGCGTGCGTCGGAGTTTCGATCGCTCGGATCGAACGGCTCAGGTGGGCACGGTTTCGGAGCCTCGAGAAACTGCTGCGAGTGCTGCGTCGTCGCCGTTGTTGAGTCGTGCTGCGCTCCGGCGAGTCGAGTTACTCGCTCGAACTCATTTCGCCACGCTTTGCGATCCGCTCGCATCTCCTCCTGAAGAGCTGCGATGCGCGTGAAGAGCTGCTGGGTAACCTCGGCGTTGTCGAAGGTTGCCATCCTGTTCAAAACACGCGCGGGGGGGGGGTGATTCAAAAAAATGCGGAGCTGGTGCTTACCAGAATCGGCGTCGAATTGGTCGCCCCCGGCGGTTTTTTGAGGCAGGTTTTCCCGCTGCTGCTGCTTTGTTGAGCGCGGCCGAGTTAGAAAAGCTCTGATTACCAAGTGTCACAGGATCGAATGACTCGAGGAAAGATTGCACTATCGATCAGTACAAGGCGCTTTTATACTTCCTGAGTACATCAGGTAACCAGGTTTATCCTATCCAACGGGAATAGACCCTTCTAGATGATAGAATCACCCTGCGTATAGCCACGCGAAGCTATTGGCTTTAAGGGATTACGGCAGGATTACGCTAGATATAGCGCACCAGTACATCCCAAGCCTGGTCGGTGATATAATTATAATAGCAGGATAAACCAAAGGTTAATGGAAAATGGAGAATAGGAAACAAAATGAGGAGAGATAAATAGAGGAATAAAAATAGGAAGGAAGTAGAAAAAGGGACAAGTGGTGTAACGGGGTCGTATTCTCACAGCGGTGAATCTGCGCGTGACGCCGGTGGGAGGCCCGCAGCAGCTGCTGGTGTGGACCGGTGCGATTCCTGTCGGGTGGAGCGCGGGAACGACCTACCATGCGGACGGCAACTTCTAGACGTCTCGTCAGCAGAGTTTAATGGGGATGTGCTCCTTTAGAATCGTGGTGATCCGGAGCACTGCAGATTCGGATTCAGCACTGCGGAATAGCAAAAAACAGCGAATGAGTCGACTGAATCGCGTGGCTATGGGTATCAGACTCAGAAATTGATGCGATGATGGTGCAGAATAGTCGAATAAAAACCGTCGCGTTGTGCTTGAGCGGCAGATCGGCACCTCAACTCGCCATAGTCTACTAGTTTCCGTTCCGCTCATTGCCCTCGCATGTCTTCGAAATATTCGATTCCTATCTTCAATTAACGTGACTCCAGTGATAAAAGAAGCCTTGATTATGTACGGCCACAACCACAGAGGAGCCCTAAATCCTCAACTGTTGCTAACATATGATGCTTAGGGAAATAGCGAGGAGATGGGAAGCGAGGAGATGGGAAAACAAGGCTCGACGCCAATGCGTAGTTGGGGTTGCGTAGCACCTTTATAGAATCCTGAAATGAAAGAGCAATTCTCTCATGCAAATAAATCGTTAGTTTGGAAGGTAAGCTATGTGCAATTGTTTTTCAGATTGGATAACAATTAGGTTGCAATTGTTTTTCAGAGCGTGAACATGATTTGAAGCAATTAGGGGATTTTGATGAGACATGTATAAACGAGAACAACGCCATGGGTTTTCTACATATCTCAACATGAAAAGAAGGTTTGGTTGAAAAACAACAGCAAATGGTTATTATGGATGCCATAGTAGTATGATATGTAGTAAACTAATGATGACGTTAATAGGCGTGTACTTTTTGTCAAAACATATCTTAGTATGTTATTATAGACAGTATAGGTTTGTGCCTTAGAGGGTACAACACTAGCCTATATTCTCTTGTACTCTCACATTCTAGTTCATTCTTGCATTCTAATATGGTATCATGAGTAGTTTAGGTCCAGCTCGCCCACCAGCGCTTCCACCCTAGGTCCTAGCCGCCCGTCCCCTAGCCGGTCCCGTACACGCCTCCTAGCCGGCCCTTGCGGTTGTTCCGTAGCGGCCCCCGCGCCCGTCCATAGCGGCCCCCGCGCCTGTTCGTAGCGGCCCCCGCGCCCGCCCGTAGCGGCCCTCCCGCGCACCGCACTGCACCGCCCTGCACTGCACTGCACCGCCCTGCACCGCAGCTGCATCGCCCCTGATGGCGGACTCTGTGCTGCGGTTTGACGCGGAGGGTCAGTCGATCGGGTTCGACATGTGGCTCGTCGACCTCCGCCGTCACCTTACTAGGCAGCGGCAGGACGGCCACTCATTGGCTGTCCGCCTCGACGGTACGCTCCCCTGTCCTGACCCCCATGCTGCGCTACCCGCTGACCCCACGTCTGCTGAGCGTGAGTCCGCTGCAGCTGTAGCCCTTGCCCGCTTGGTCTGGTTGTCGCGTGACGCTGTTGCCCAGCTAGCCATCAGTCATGCCCTTCCCCTGTCTGAGCGTCCCCGCTTTAGGTCGGTCAGGACTGCCCAGGAATTCCTAGATGCTGTTATTGAGCGCTATTCCACTCCGTCTTCTGCCTCCGTCGGTCGCCTGATCCTGCCTCTGCTGTTTCCTAACCTCGCGTTTTTCCCCACCGTCGTTGACCTAGCCGCCCACTTGCGCACGCTAGACTCGACCTCGCGCTCTACTTGGTACTGAGGCCCATCTCCGCGTGTTCCAGCCCCCCCTCTATGCTACCCTCTACCAGCTTGCCACCCGCCTTCCTGACCGTCTTGCTACTGCCCGCGATCGTTTTCTTAGTCTCCACCCCGCTGACCTCACCCGCACCCACTTTGTCGACACCCTGTCAGCCATAGAGACCCGACAGCGCTCTATCGCCCAGTCCAGCGGTACTGTGCCGGTCTCTATCTTTCAGGGCTGTGCGCCCGCTCAGTGCACCTTTTTTTACGGCTCTGCTGCTGTGGCTGAGATAGCCGCTGCAGCGCAGTTTCATCCGGGAAAGGGCCGCCGCCCCAAGGCTGGGCGCGGTGGTGGTAGTAGCGGCGGTGTGGGTGGAGAAGGTGCTGTCGCAGGGTTGCCCGCAGGGGGTGCGGAGGAGGGTGCTGGGGCTGGCATCACCGAGCAGCAGTCTCAGCCGCAGCAGCCAGTTCCACTGCAGGATCAGCAGCAGCCGCAGCCACTGCAGCAGCAGCACCACCACCAGCCGCCGCATTAGCAGCAGCATCGGCGCGTTGGTCGTCTCCCGCCCTGGTGGCCCGGAGCTGGCCGTGGCGGCGGTCGTACTGGTCGTGCGCATGGCGTGACATCGGGTGGTGGCTCCGGCGACGGGCGCTGCCAGTACCAGCTTCAAACCGGTCCTTGCCGTGGCCTTGTGTGCGGTAAGATCGGTCACACCCCTACCCGCTGTTTCAGTCGCCTGGACGACATGTTTCGTCTTCGCTTCAGCATGTCGCCTGACCTCCCTGACTGGCTCAACTTGCTCCACCAGGGTGTTCAGATCTTTGATATGGACAGGGATGAGATTAGCTCTGCGTTGTATGTGCTGTATGTCGATGACTCTAGTGTGATTGGTTCTGCTTACCCAGTGTTGCCTTGTGTAGGTGTGCCTAGTTCAGACCCCCCTATTGCATCAAGCGTAGGATCTCTTGCTTTGTTTAGCCTAGGCTCCTCTCTTGCTCCTACCGCTCCTTCCATCACTGCCGCGCTCTCCTTCACCCTTGACTCTGGCGCTTCTCGGTGCTTCTTCCAGGACTCTACTACTCTCACACCGCTTCCAGCTCCTGCCGCAGTTTCCCTGGCTGACCCTTCCTCCGGCCCTGTCGTAGCTCGTAGCTCCACTACCCTTCCCTGTCCAGCAGTTCCTTCGGGCTCACTTACAGACCTGCACCTCCCCTCATTTTCTAGGAACCTAGTTGGTGTCGGCTGCCTTTAGGACCTTGGCGTCACCACTACGTTCCCTGATCACGAGCGGTACGCTGTCTGTACCGAGGCCGCCACAGGTGCTCCCCTCTCCACGTTCCCCCGGGACCCGGTGTCTGGCCTGTTCACACTGGACACTGCCCCCCCCCCCCCCCCCCCCCCGGTTGTGACGTCTCCCCAGGGGACTGTGTCTCCTCAAGTAGCTACATCTTGCTCGTGTCAGTCGCTCACTCACCCGACACTACTGTGGCACCACCGCCTAGGTCATCCTGCCCTTCCCCGTCTTCAGCACGGTCATATGTCATATGTCTCAGCACGGTCTGGCCTCCCTGGATCGTTCCCTGCGCTCCCCCCCTCACCCGCGCCGCCGTGTTCTCCCTGCATCGAGGGCCGGCTCCGCCGCGCCCCTCATTCCTCCTCGTTCCCCCCCACCACCACACCCTTGCAGACCTTGCACATGGACGTCTAGGGCCCTGCCCCAGTTCATGGGCCGCGTCGTGAGCGTTACTTCCTCGTCCTTGTTGACGACTACCCTCATTACACCACCGTGTTTCCCCTGGAGCGGAAGGCCGACGTGCCTGACGCTCTTATCCCGTGGCTGGTCTCTGCGCGAGTGCACCGCGGCCTTCCTGTTTTGCGTCTTCACTCCAACCGTGGTGGCGAGTTGGCCTCCGGCGTCCTTCGTTTCTGCCGTGCAGAGTGTTAGAATATACCATGCTATGCTAGTTGTGTATATTGTGTTTACATCCCTAGTTGGGTGTACACCTGTGTTGGGGTGTCAATCCAACCCAATTGTGGTTGGAGCCCCCAAACACAAGGACCACAATTGTGGGGGCACCACAAGTGGGTTGGCTAAACCACTGGTGGTACACCACACTTGGACCACCTCCAACTGGTGGTCAACCACATTTGGAAGGAGCCTCCCTCCCTTGTGATTGGTCCTAACCCCCCCTTCCCTTCCAACCTTCCCTTCCTAGCTCATCTCTCTCTTCCTATGTAATGCCTTTCCTTCATCAATAAACTGAACCTTTCTGTTTCTAACATGGTATAGAGCAATAATGGCTCACGCCAACTTTTAAATCCCGATCCTTCCCCACGCTTCCGCCCCGTCCCCTTCCGACGTGCACCTCATTGCCGTCCCCTCCATCGCCGCTGCTAGACTCCTAGCCGCCGCCTCTCAACTAGTTTTCTGTTGGGTGGATTTTCAAAAACCCCCAATGCGCCAAACGCCATAGCTCGCTCGATAGTTGACAGAATTGAGTGATTCGACTTGCAAAAGAACGCTCTTGGTGTCAGCTACAACGTCGTAAAATTTCGGACTGTTTCATCGCTTGGATTGTCAGATATCGCTTTCCGAAGTTTGCACACTTTCCTGGATGTGATCACGAAGTGCTACTGAAATTTCTACCAAGTCCTATTTTCATCAGCTAACTGCCATCTTTCCCCATCTTTTGCCTCCTCACCTGCACCTGCTCATCGCCGCCTTACCACTGCTGCAGCCGTAGCAGCAGCAGCAGAAGCAGCAGCAGCACCAGAAGGAGCAGCAGACTCAGCAGCAGCAGCAGCAGCAGCTGAAGGAGTAGCAGCAGCAGCAGCAGCAACAGCGGCAGCAGCAGCAGTGGCAGCAGCAGCAGCGGCAGCAGCAGCAACAGCAACAGCAGCAGCAGCAGAAGGAGCAGCAGCAGCAGCAGCAGCAGCAGCAGTATCTACAGCCATCCCCATCCTCCCCTCCTCTTTGAGCCGCCGCGGGTCCACCCGCCGCCGCTCCCTCCCGGCCACCGCGGGTCCACCCGCCGTCGCCTTCCTCCCACTCCGTGTCACCAATGTCATCCTTTCCCCCTCCCGTCGACGTCTCGACCCTCGATCATCTCGTGCGCGCTGCCGACAACTCAGCAACCAACTGGTATTCCTTCGTCGGCAGCCTCCACCGCGTCCTCGGCAGTGCTTATGTCCTGCCGTTCCGCCTCCTGGACATCATGCTTGGTCTCCTAGAGGGTGACCTTGGGGACCCGCCGCCTCACCCTGGCGATCCCCCCCCTCTCATTCCCCATCCCGGCGAGGAACCTTCGCCCCCCATAGTACCCGTTGGCACCAGCACTCGCGCTGCCACCGCTGAAGTTGAGCAGCTCTTCGTTACTCAGCGTCGTGAGTTCCTCGTGCTCCATACTGATTACCTGATCGCGTTGGAGGAACACGAGCGGTCGGCAACCCTCCGCACCCAGCATGCCGCTACCGCCGCCGCTTATGCCGCTGACTCTGCGCGATTTGCTGAGCGTCGTCGCGCCTGGCTCGAGGCGGACAGCCGTGCTACTGGTGCCCTTCTCCTTGCCATCCCGTCTGCGCTCATGCGCAACTTCCAGGCACGTCGCATCGGCTCCCGCCAGATCTGGCTCGAGCTTGAGGCAATGTTCGAACGCACCGACTTCGATGCTGTCGGACCGCTCTTCAAGGAATACTTCAGCATCACGATCGAACATAGTGCTGGCGCCGTTGACTACACCAGCCGTCTCCTGGACCTTGCCTCCCGCCTTGAGGCTCGCCAGACTACTCTCCCCCCCAACCTTCAGATCTACCGTCTCCTCGAAGGCCTCTCCCCTCAATATGAAGTGCGCGTCATTGCCTTCACTGAGGCTCAGCCCCGCGCCTCCCTTGACACTGTGGTCCAATGGATCATTGACGCTGAGGCCCGCCTTCTCTCAACCCCCCCCTCCGGCCTGAACTCCACCGCGTCCCAAAACCCCCAGCTTGCAGTCACACAGCCGCGTCGTGGCGGGCGCCCACGTGGCGGCCGCACCAACCCTCAGGGAGGGGGTGGAGGTGGCGGTTGTGGGGGCAGCGGAGCCGGCGGCGGTGGTGGCGGGGTCGAGGGTGGCAGCAGTGGTGGTGGTGGAGGCAGTGGTGGCTCATCTGGTAGCCGTGGTGGCCGCCCTGGCACTCTTCCCCCATGTTCCTATCTTCGCCGTTTTGGTCCCAGGGCGGGTGAGCGCTGCACCCAAACCAACCATCCCCCCGCAACCTGCTTCAAGGCGTATGATGACGCCTGGTTCGAGCGCGGCAACACTGGCACCCCCCCACGCTGGTCTGCCATGGATCCCCGCCCCTCTCTCCAGGATGTCAAAACTCTTCCGTCTTTCCTCCCCTCTCATCTTCAGCTCTCCTCCTCCTCCTCCTCTGTCGCTGACCCCATAACTCCCCAGGAGCTGCAGCAGTTTCGCCGCTTCCAGCAGCTGCAGCTGCTGCAGCAGCAGCAGCAGTGGGGCTCTGGTGGTCAGGCTGCAGCCGCAGCTGCAGGAGCCGCAGCCGCAGCATCTGCATGGCAGCAGCAGCAGCTTGGCTTTGGCACCGCCGCCATGGCTGCCACAGCCACACCAGGTCCTCCTGGCTTTCCCCTCTGGGGCTCTCCTTCCCCTAGTGCTCCCGCCTCCCACTCCAGCTTTCTAGGCGAGCTCATGCGTTCTTCCCCTGCTTCCACTTCCATGTATCCCTCTGTTTTTAATGCCAGTGATTTCCAGTACCCCGTGTCTTCAGCTCCTTCCTCGCTCACGATTGACTTTGTTCTCGATAGTGGTGCCACTGAAACTGCCCTCAAAGACGCCGGCACCCTCACCTCCCTCCCTTTCCCCACCAACGTTCATGGTGCTGATTCCAGCTTCTCCATCCCTTGCACTCATCTCTCCACCCTCCCCTGCCCCCCCTTCCCCTCTGGAGTGGTCACTGGTCTCCACATTCCCTCCCTTCGTCATAACCTGCTCTCCATTCGTGAACTCCAACAGGCTGGCATCACTACCCTCTTCCCCGCCTCTGCCACCTACTGTGACCTCCTCCACGGCCCCACTCGCCGCCTCCTTCATCGCCTCCCACTTTGCCCTCGCTCTCGTCAGTACATCCTCCGCACACCCCGCCCCTCCTCATGCCACGTGACCACTCGTGCAGGCACCTCCACTCTCCCCCCTCCCCTCCCTCTAGAGCCACCTTCCTCCAACTCCACCTCCTCCCCATGCTCTTGTCGCGCACTGTCCCACCCCGCTGTTCTCATCCACCACCGCCTTGGTCATATGAACTTTCCCACACTTCGTAAAGCCATCTCCTCCCGCTTGCTTGACGGTCTTCCCCCCACTCTTCCTCCCCTCCCGTCCTCTTCCGCTCCCCCATGCGCCACATGCATTCATGGAAAGCTCAAACAACAGCCTCACCTCAGTCATCCTTCCTTTGCTGCTGCCCCCCTTGACCTCGTCCACATGGACCTCTGGGGCCCTAACCCTTCCCCTTCCCGCCAAGGGCACCGGTACCTGCTTGTCCTAGTCGACGACCACAGCAGGTACTCTTCGGTGTTCCTCCTCCACACGAAGGCCGAGGCCCCTGCTGTCATCGTTACCTGGGCCGAGCAGTGCCGAGTCCACTTTGGTCGCCCCATCCGCCGCCTCCATTCCGACGGCGGTGGTGAGTTTCTCAACCGCATCCTCTCCTCCTACTGCTCAACCCATGGCATCCAGCAGACTCATACCCTTCCCCACTCCCCTCAGCAGAACGGTGTTGCTGAGAGTCGCATTCGTGAGATCACCAAGACGGCCCGCTGCCTCCTCACTCATGCCTCCACGCCCCCTTCTCTTTGGGGCTATGCCCTTGTCCATGCTGCTCTCCTTACTAATCTTTACCCACATCCTCAACGCCAGTCTGTCACTCCCACTGAGCTCTGGGCTAGCACCAAGCCAGATGCTGCCATTCTCCGTATCTGGGGTTGCAAGGCATATGTCCTCATCCCCCCACCTGACCGCTCTCGGCAGGCAGGAAAGCTCGCCTCCAAGGCCATTGAGTGTGTCTACCTTGGCCACGCTCGCTCTGCCCCTGGTTACCTCTTCCTTCACCCGTCCTCAGGCCGCCTCCTACAGAGCCGTGACGTGGTGTTCGATGAGAGCATCCCGTTCTATCATTCTGTTCCGCCTTCCGACCCCCTTCCTCCTCTCTCCCGCCCCCTCACCTGGGCTGATGCTGTCATTCCCCCACTCCTTCCCCAGGCTCCCCTCCTTCCTCCAAATCCTGCTCCTCCCCCTCCTCCTTCCTCAGGTGACATTTACGACCCAGCTGTCCCTGACTCCCCTGCTCACTCTGCCTCATCGCACCAGCAGCAGCAGCAGCAGCAGCAGTAGCAGCAGCAGCAGCAGCAGCAGCAGCAGCAGCAGCAGCAGCAGCAGCAGCAGCAGAAGGAGCAGCAGCAGCAGCAGGTGCAGCAGCAGCAGCGGATGGAGCAGCAGCAGCAGCAGCAGCAGCAACCGCAGGCAGTGCAGCAACAGCAGCCGCAGCAGGAGGTGCAGCAGCAGCACCAGCAGCAGCCACAGCAGCAGCAGCAGCAGCCACTGCAGCAACCTCATCGGCATCGCCGCACCACCTCTCCGTTCATCCTCCCACGCATCCACACTCGCTCTCACGGCCCACTCATAGGCCATCCATGGGGTTGGCCAACACCACCCCCACCCTCCCTTCCCTTCATTGAGGACTCCCATGAGGAGCTCATTGGCGTTCAGCAACAAACACCTTCCCTCACGCCTCTCTACCCGGGCTTCCTTGGCCTCCTCATCCTTGGCATCGCTACCGCTCCCACCAGATTCACTCCGTCCAACTTCCTTGAGGCCATCACCTGCCCCGATGCTGCCAAGTGGATCCAGGCTATCTTTGCTGAATGCGAGGCCTTCATCCGCAATGCCTCATTCGTTAACATTGTCCCCTCTCCTGAAGACGTCATTGTTGAAGGCCTCTGGGTGTTCCGAGTGAAGCAGCTGCCGGGTGAGGAGCCGGTCTACAAGGCCCGGTATTGTGCCAAGGGCTTCACCCAAACCCATGGCATCGACTACTGGGAGACATTCTCTCCCACTGCCAAGCTCCCAACTCTCCGGGCCATCCTCGACTATGCTGTTCGCATTGGCATGGAGATTGCCTCCATGGATGTCTCCAACGCCTTCCTGCAAGGCGAGCTCCAGGAGCGGGTCCTCTTGCGGCGGCCTCCAGGCTTTCATGCTGCCTTCCCTGCCAACACAGTCTGGGAGCTGCGCCGCCCGGTTTATGGCCTCAAGCAGGCTCCTCGCGAGTGGCACAACAAGCTGGCCGCCACTCTGCAGTCCTTGGGGTTCCATGCCTCTCAGTCTGATGCCAGCCTTTTCCTTCGCTCCTCTCCCACCCGCTTCTTCATCCTGGTGTATGTCGACGACATGATCCTGTTCGCTGACGATGCTGCCGCCATGCAGCAAGTGAAGGACGCCCTGCATGCGCGCCTCAAGTGCAAGGACCTGGGTGAGCTCAAGCACTATCTGGGCATGACCATCACCCGGGACCGCACATCGCGCACCATTACCCTCTCTCAGTCCTTCTACATCGACCAAGTCTTGCAGCGGTTCGACATGGCGCAGGCCAAGCCGGTTACCACTCCCCTGCAGACCGACCACCAGCTTGCCCCTCCTCCTGCTCCCTCCTCCTCTGACCATCCTTACGCTGAGCTCGTCGGCTCGCTGATGTACGCTATGATGTGCACCCGCCCCGACCTTGCCTACCCCATCAGTGTTCTTGCTCGATTCGTCGGTACCGGTCGCCACACTGATGAGCACTGGGCTGCAGCGAAGCGGGTCCTCCGCTACCTCCGTGGTACCAAGGACTATGTCCTCACCCTCGGAGGCTCTTCTCCTCCCCTCCTCTCTGGCTTCAGTGACTCCTCCTGGGCTGACTCCCAGCCAGATCGCCGTTCCTCTCAAGGCTACGGCTTCACCCTTGGCAGCGGCCTCATCAGCTGGCGCTCCACTCGCTCCTCCTCCATCGCCCTCTCATCCTGCGAGGCTGAGCTCTATGCTTGCACCATGGCCGCTCAGGAGGCTCGCTGGCTCACCTTCCTCCTTGCTGAGATCGGTGCTCCTCAGCGCTGTCCCACCCTCTGGTGCGACAACGCCAGCACCATCCATCTCACAAAGGACCCTGTCTTCCATGGCCGCTCCAAGCACATTGAACTCCGCTACTTCTTCGTTCGAGAGTTGGTCCAGCAAGGTCACTTGGTGGTCCGCAAGATCGCTGCAGAGGCCAACTTGGCCGACATCTTCACCAAGGCCCTCCCGAAGACCGCGCACTCTGCCCTCCTCCGCCTTCTCGGCCTTGGGCCCCGCCCCCCTTCCTGATTCTGGGGTTGTACCCTACATATACACTAGCTTTGCATGCTATGGGGTTGTGTTAGAATATACCATGCTATGCTAGTTGTGTATATTGTGTTTACATCCCTAGTTGGGTGTACACCTGTGTTGGGGTGTCAATCCAACCCAATTGTGGTTGGAGCCCCCAAACACAAGGACCACAATTGTGGGGGCACCACAAGTGGGTTGGCTAAACCACTGGTGGTACACCACACTTGGACCACCTCCAACTGGTGGTCAACCACATTTGGAAGGAGCCTCCCTCCCTTGTGATTGGTCCTAACCCCCCCTTCCCTTCCAACCTTCCCTTCCTAGCTCATCTCTCTCTTCCTATGTAATGCCTTTCCTTCATCAATAAACTGAACCTTTCTGTTTCTAACACAGAGGGCATCATCCAAACGTTCACCCTGCCGGACACCCCGCAGAAGAATGGGATCGCTGAGCGACGCATCGGTCTAGTCATGGAGGTGGCTCGTACCTCCATGATCCATGCTGGTGCACCCCATTTTCTGTGGCCGTTCGCTGTTCGCTACGTCGCCCACCAGCTTAACCTGTGGCCTCACCCCCAGTGGCCGCAGGATTCGCCGACCCTTCTCTGGACCGGGTCCCCTGGTAACGCGTCAGCGTTCCACGTCTGGGGCTGCCTTGCTCACGTTCGTGCCTCCGGCACAGACAAGCTCACTGCCCGCACCATCCCTTGTGTCTTCCTCGGTTTCCCCTTCGACTCGTCTGATTGGCACTTCTACCACCCACCGTCTCAGCATTTCTTTCACTCTCGCGACGTCACCTTTGACGAGTTTGTCTCCTTCTACCACCGCTTTCCCCATCGTGGTCCCCCCATTTCTCCCCCCTTATTCCTGGTCCCCCCTCCCCCGGTCGCCCCTGATTCCCCACCTCCCTGCCCTGCCTCGTCTGGTGTGTGTCACGTTACCCCCCTCCTCTCGGTTGTCCCAGTTGAGGAGTCTGCTGAATCTCGTAGCCCTGCAGCGCAGTCTTTGCCGCCTGCCCCCTTCTCAGTGTTTCCTCCTCCGCCTTCGCAGCCGCAGTCGTCGTCGCAGCTGTAGCCGCCATTGCCGCCGCAGCCGTTGTTGTCACCACCGCAGCAGCAGTTTGTGTCCTCTGGGGGTGCTGGCGCTGAGGAGGGTGCTCGTCCTAGGGCTTCTGTCGTGGCGTATCCCTGTGGGCCTTGAGGTGTTGCCGGTGCTGAGGGGGTCTCTGATACTGGGGATGTTCCTTCTGGGGGTGCTGGAGTGGAGTGTTCCGGAGGTAGCCGTGGAGCAGCTGGCGGTACCGGTGTTGGCGTTGTTCAGCCGCCGCAGCAGCGGTCGCCACCGGTGTCCGCCCTCTGCCTGCTCAGCCTTCCCTCCCCTGACCGCACGCCTGCGCCTCTCTTACAGTATCCTCCTCTTCCTGTCTACGGCCCTGTGTTCCCTCCTCCGGACTCCTCTCCGGCTCGTATTCCCCCTCGTTCCCCTCTTGTGTCTCCACCTCTGTCTCCCGACCCGACGCCCCCGTCGCACGTCAGGGCTCGCCGCCCCTCTCGTGCGCGTCCGGTCTCACCTGTTTTGCGTTCTCACCCTATGTTGCTTCGTTCCCACGTGTCTCGTCCTCCCCTCCTGCCGTCGCCTCCTCCGTCCTCTCTTGCTGTCGCGCCTCCCCCTCAGACTGACTACCTTCGTACCACTCGTCCGCTTGTTTCTCTGGTCCTTGCCTCTCTCGTTACCAACCCGTCTATTCCTGTTTCGTCTCTTGACGCCCTTGTCGCTGCTGTCGCTGACTTCGCCTCTACCCGTCGCCTTGACTATGCCACCGCTCTGGTCTCTGACCCTGCGCGTCCTCCGTCCGTCGGGGGTGCTCCTGCCCTCGACAGTAACGTCTTGGAGGACCGACAGTACGAGCTTGCTTTCCTGTCCGAGGCTGCTCCCCATCTCTCCTCCATCCTACTAGTCCCTGAGGGTGACTCAAACGCTTTCGACATCCCGACCCCTCGCACCTACGCTAAGGCCACCTCGGGACCCTGGGCTTCTCAGTGGATAGCTGCATGGAGCAGGAGATGGCATCTTGGAGGTCCACCGGCACCTACGTCGATGAAGTTCCCCCGCCTAGGGTGAACGTAATCGATGGCCGCTGGCTCTTCAAGGTGAAGCGCCCCCCTGGAGAGCCTCCTGTGTTCAAGGCACGCTACGTGGCTAGAGGCTTCAGTCAGCGAGAGGGGGTGGACTTCTTCCAGACCTTCGCACCTGTGAGAGTACGACCCCGTTACACCACTTGTCCCTTTTTCTACTTCCTTCCCTTTTTGATTCCTCTTTTTATCTCTCCTCATTTTGTTTCCTATTCTCCATTTTCCATTAACCTTTGGTTTATCCTGCTACTATAATTATATCACCGACCAGGCTTGGGATGTACTGGTGCGCTATATCTAGCGTAATCCTGCCGTAATCCCTTAAAGCCAATAGCTTCGCGTGGCTATACGCAGGGTGATTCTATCATCTAGAAGGGTCTATTCCCGTTGGATAGGATAAACCTGGTTACCTGATGTACTCAGGAAGTATAAAAGCGCCTTGTACTGATTGATAGTGCAATCTTTTCTCGAGTCATTCGATCCTGTAACACTTGGTAATCAGAGCTTTTCTCACTCGGCCGCGCTCAACAAAGTAGCAGCAGCTGGAAAACTTGCCTCGAAAAACCGCCAAGGGCGACCAATTCGACGCCGATTCTGCTAAGCACCAGCTCCGCGTTTTTTCAAATCACGCCCCCCGCGCGTGTTTTGAACAAGATGGCAACCTTCGACAATGCCGAGGTTACCCAGCAGCTCTTCGCGCGCATCGCAGCTCTTCAGGAGGAGATGCGAGCGGATCGCGAAGCGTGGCGAAACGAGTTCGAGCGAGAAACTCGTCTCGCCGGAGCATAGCACGATCCGACAACGGTGATGACGCAGCAGTCGCAGCAGTTTCTCGAGGCTCCGAAACCGTGCCCACCTGAGCCGTTCGATCCGAGCGATCGAAACTCCGACGCACGCAGATGGATCGCCGGGATGGAGATCTACTTCGCAGCCGTGGGATGGAGCTCGCCAGTCTGGGACGGACAATACGTACGACTCGCGGCAACGCTGATGCGAGGGCCGGCACTCGAGTGGATTGGCGGCAACAGCACCTTCATCCACGGTGAAGCCACGTGGCAGCAGTTCCGCACCGACCTGCTGAAACGTTTCGAGCCGATAAATTCGGGTTTCCTTGCCCGGGAAAAAATTCATCGCTATCGACAGTTCGGGAGTGTAGCGCAGTACACGCAGGAGATGGAAGAATTTTATAACCGAATTCCCGACCTGACTGAAGGGGAAAAATTACAGTCGTACCTCGCCGGGCTGAAGACCGAAGTCAAACGACAAGTAGCAGCGTCAAACTACGCGAGCTATAAAAACGTCGTTTCGGCAGCGGAGCGTCAAACAAAGTAAAAGCCGCACGCGCAGAGTATCGGGCATGCAACAATGGCGGAATTTCTTTGGCAAATCAGAAGACAAAAAACGGGAGTCGCCAGTGATCGCGGATCTAGCTGGCGAAAAAGAAAAGATCCGAAAACG